AGTCTCCAGACCTAATTCCAATAGAAAATCTTTGGAGGAAGCTTAAAGTCCGTGAGGCCCAGCGACAGCCCCGAAACCTGAAGGCTCTGGAGGAGATCTGTATGGAGGAGTGGGCCAAAATCCCTGCTGCAGTGTGTGCAAACCTGGTCAAGAACTACAGGGAAAGTCTGATCTCTGTAATTGCAAACAAAGGTCTCTGTACCAAATATTAAGTTTCATTGTTCTTGTGTATCAAATACTTATTTCACAAAATAAAATGGAAAATAATTATCTAAAAATCATACATTGTATTTTTCTGGATTTTTGTTTTAGATTCCATCACTCACAGTTGAAGAGTACCTATGATAAAAATTACAGTCTTCTACAAGCTTTGCAAGTGGGAAAACCTGAAAAATCAACAGTTTATCAAATACTTGTTTTCCCCACTGTAGGTATCCCTTCTCCTCCTCATAGCGACTCTGTACGCAGAGAATAGTGACCCCAAATAATATAATGTCCCAAAGCGACGGATTCCATGTTATTTCACCGAGAGGAGGGACTCGAGAGCAGCGGGAAAACGAGGAAAAAACACGTACTCAAAACGCTCTGAACACAGACAGCTGCACCCAACCTCTGTTACTGTTGGCTGAAGTAAATCAGCAGAAAGGGGAATTAAAAGCAGAAATTATTGGTGGGGACTGTCCCCTCCATGTCCAAAGTTGGTGTGGACATGTCCACACCAGTCCTTCAGAAAGTTACACCAGTGGCCTGCTCCTTCCCTTCTTGTAGACAACTTTACAGTTGCATATACTGTAGATATCTAAAATCAAATGCTTCCACATGCTTTTGTGGCCAAATGACTACATAGATCCTTGGAGATTGGATCCAATGATAGAGGGATGGCTACTCTCGCTGTACAAAGATGGTGGCAAATTGGTTGGTTGCAGAGCAGCAACTCTAATACATTTTTCTTGGATGTTTTGTAGATTTCAGTTGATGATTTAAAATGTTAAATAATCTGATAAGATTGTACAACTAGCTACAAGAAGCGTGTGAGTTATAGTGTTTTCAAGAGTTATATTTTTAAGACCTTTTTTTTAAACGTGTAAATGCTGGCCATTCGATTTTGGTTTTGAAATGGGAAATACAAAGATGGAAATCAAACTGTTTACTTTTTTTCAAGTGAAATAAAAAATAGATTTTTTGAAATCCCAAATTGAGAAAAAAAATCGGATACATTTTTCAATTCCAAAACAAAAAAGGAAAAGTAAAAAAAAAAAAAAAGACGTCTTTTCTTGATTCGGCTCCCCCCATTTTTGCATGATATCTAGGTGTTTAAAGATGGGTCCACTGTTGCATGCTATTTGCAAGGATGCAGTCATTATATGAAACTCCCACCTGTCAGTCTTGGTCTGTTTGTTCCTTTTTTTCTTGGTTTTCCATTTGTTGTCCTCTGCTGCCCTCTTGTGTCCTCC